GCATAAAAAAATGATTAAAAATGGAAAAAAATCATACGCAAAAATATTTCAGCCTGAATATTACATTTGTTATTTTCCTTTATGCTGCATAAATCAGACTATTGAACTTTTTCGGGCATATTGCTGGGGATCCACTTGTATTTTTATCCGCAACTATATAATTAGCTGCAATGATGATATGATAAAGATGAAATTGAATTTTTTTCTCTGATTTAATGTAAGACAACTATTTTGATGGAAGTTTAATTAATCACGGACTTAATGAAATTAAGCGTCAAAGTTTCAGTATCAATGATAGGCATTATAATTCCAATATTATCATTATTATCATTAGTTTTATTATTATTATCATTGGAATTAAATAATTAATATTATCATTAGAATTAAATTAAATAAAAATCCGAGAAAATGATTAAAAAATTGAAAGACAGTCTTTTTTACAAAAAAAGTTTGAAAATTGTTATTTTAGTCTTATAATAAACTAATTTAAATATTAATTTAAATATATTAATTTAAACAGAAATTATCTTGATGACATTCAATCAACCCCACGTGCAATTCGAATCACTAAAATTTATGATTAATGATTGCAGAAGTGGTAGTAGCAACTTAAAATTACATAAGTAGCAGTAAAGCGATAAAGGTTTAAAATGTTTCAGTTATTTCAGTGAATGAATTTTAGATAAGCAAATGTTAAGAATACTTCAAAAAAACATGAAATCAAAGACTATGAAGTTTTGATTTCCAAGTACCATACCAATTCCTTTGATGGCCAAGGTTAATTCACCACTGTTTTATTTTCTTTAAATTTTACAAATTCGTAATTAGTGGAAAATTTTGAAATAAATTATTAGCGATTGAAGTGACTTATTTGTTATTTGACGATTTTCCAAAAAAATTGGAAAATTGGATTTCCTCTCATAGCCAATTTTTTTTCCGCAGTTTCTGTTGGAATGATTGCAATTATAATTAAGAATTCTTCTTCCATTTATAGTATTTTTACTATAGTAAAAATAAAGGAATCGGAGTAGATAATCAAATGTGTTGAATTAGACCATAGCCGGTTGGTTAAAGAAATTTGGTAATTAACTGTACATTCAATTCCTTATGAAGAAATCAAGCGGAAAAAAAATTTGTAGGCTAAACGCCTCTTTAAACGTAAGGAGTATAAAAAAAATTCATTTATTCCATCATAATTCGAAGTACCAAATTATTAGAGTTAATCTTCAAAAGATTGACGCATCGAAATGCAAATTTTACAAATTAAACCATTCGTTTGAGCCAAAGTACATATGTCACTATTTGTAAAGATTTTATAATTATGATCCAGCATTTTTTAAAAGTATTTTGTTTCCATAAAAACAGCAAGCGAAATGTTGAAGCGCAAATTTATTATAAGATATTTATTGTAATAAATATATTTCCAAAAATTTTCTCAAAATATTCTTTAAATTCCTCAGAAATAAAATTTGGTTAACGATATGGAAAAAAGTTTTTTTTTTTAAATCTTAAAATATTTAGTACAGAATAAATTAAGCGAGCAATATTCATATTCCCTTTTTCTCTGAGTAAAATTTTGATGTTGGAAAAAAATAGAATGAATGAAAATTTTATTACTGTCAAATGACATGAGAAATAGAAATTATTAAAAAAATCACATTATTTTCTCTACTAAAATTATTTGAATCTTATAAAAAATTTCAAAATTTTATTTAAAATCTTCTTTAAAATCTTCATTGATATTTAAAATTAATATTTAAAATCTTCTTTTCCTGACAGCACGCATTATTAGTGGCTAAGCTGACTGCTAATGAGGTAATACTTTTAAAATCCCTTCTGATTGTTTCAAATTATTTTGTCCTCCTTGCTCCTGGCGCCATCCACCATACCACTCAACAAATAGCGTCAATTTCTGCGATCGAATAGAGCCTGCAGCGCTATGTGATGAGCTGATTTTAACAAAAAAATAAAAAAATACACTTAAAGAAAAATTTCTTAATATATTGGTAGTTCAATTTTTCAAAAATAAATTGAAAATAATTTTTGAAATTTGAAAAATTTTTATTTCTTCTCTCGAATATTATTGCAGTACACTTCATATCGATAATATTTGTAAATAGAGGAGACCGAAATTAATTCCTCAATTTAAAAAAAAATCATTTTTTAACAATGACAATGAATAATTTTCTCTTGTTTTTTACAATTTAAGTCGCCTTTTCTTAATGATGTTGTTAGAAAAAAAATAATGCAAATTTGCATAAAAAAGTAAGAATTGAATGGACGAATTAATGAATGAATGAACGATGTGATAAATAGAACGAAGTAAGTCGAATTCTTTGCCAATATGTGTCAAAAAATTCGAGTGAAAAAGGCAATGAAGCATTTATTTTTTCTATTCACGCTCAATGAAATACGTTTGCTGCTAGTTAATTAGGTGAAAATCCACATATTGCCCAAATAATGTTAATTGTTTCTTCAGTCAAAGGAATTGCCAATCCTTAAGGAGGCGCTCACTTATAAAAAAAAGTAAATGGACTGATAGGTATATTATATTCTCTGCAACTATTAAGAATGCATAAACTTGTCAAGAAGCAAAAATTATTTTAAAAATTCGCTGCTTCTTAAAATGGAACTTTTGGAGAATAATTTTCTACTTTATTTTATTTTGGTTTTATTTTTTAGCATTTAATATTATCTATCTATCACTAGCTGCTTCTTTATCAGAATGCATAGATATACAACTTCGACTATATGTCATGTGAAAGTCGTTGAATGATAAGAAATATTTAGCGGTTATTGTTTTTTTCATTTCTATTATTTTACTGCGCTAGATTTGTTGCCTAATCAAGATTCCAATCCTGATTCTGATAGAAATAGATCACTGAAATCACTGAATACTGAAAATCCCGCTTATGAATATGTCTATATTTCTTCCTCCAAGTGATCCCTATCAGAAATTTTCGATCGTACTAAGATTTATTGGAGATAGCTTAACCAGAAATCGTGAAGCGTTTCTTCAGTTTTCACTATTTCTGGCTATAATTCCTTATTAAATGCATAGATATTAATTTCTTAACAATCATTTACGATGGTCAAGAAAGATTTTCGATAGAAATCTTCGCAAAATTTAAAATTACGGTTTCTCTTTGGTGTTTCATTGAAATTGTTACCTTTTGTTCAAATTTCTGCATTGACTTGTATTTTCTCTTACTCTTGTATCTTGTTTTTCAGGATAATATGTCCAACCATTAGTTTTAATAGCAAATTACTCGAACTTATGATTATTACAATTATGAAACAGGAGCTCTCGAAGAATGCTGAATAAGCATACGAAATCCTACCTGCTAAAAATAATTTTAAAAGTCTTCCTTTAATAAAGGCTTATATCGATGATTAACTCAGTGGATTGGTTAGGATCCACTTGATATGCAAGTTATATATTGAAATTTATCATTTTCCTGCCAATTTTGTCAAAATCATTATTATCTTTGTCAGGCGAATAATACTTGATATTTGCTTGAATTCATGTGCACCTCTTTTAAGGTGCAAAGATTCGACGAAAATAGCCGGTTTCCAGAATAACTTATGGCAATGACAGGATAGTTAAGATATGTTACTCTGACTGATGTCGATGCATCATGGATATGGGTTTGTTATAAATTATCATCAAAAGAGAAAGGGTGGAATCAACAATCGTAGGATTTCCATTCTTTTTCATTTTCATTCTTTCATTTTTTTCTTGTCTGACGATTTTTCTGGCGAAGAAATTCTATTCTAATACATTCATTGGTTATTCCATATCAAAACAAATTGGACAATCATTTGCTTCTAAATCCACGTCAATTAAACTTCTTGATTAACACTTCATTTCATTGAATTCAATTTCATTGAAATTGGCATTTAAATTCGAATTGCATTAGTTTAGAGCAAATAATAAAGAATATGGAATTTAATTAGCTCATATTTTACAAGAAAAAAAATATAAGTATTAATATATTCAGAATTAAAGAAAATTTTCAATTATTCACATTTTATTCCAATTTTCTTTCTCACTGGTTCCAAATTATGGTCTGAAAGTTGTGAAGTTTCATAGGTCTTCTCATCCCTTTAAGGGACCGGACCGGAAGGGACCTTTATAAAATATTCATGTTTGACACATTAACTGAGTCAGTTGTCCATACAATATCGGTTCTCATGATAATAAGAAACGATATTTTCTCATTTCTTAACTGACGCATAGATAACATTACAAACATTACATAACTTCAGCAAATTGTGTGAATTTTTTAAACAAAGATTTTATTTTCAGAAATTCTAAATTTTTTCTAATTTTAACTTTTAATAGGACGAATTTCGGCAAGTGTAATCGGCGCAGATGAAAGCTCTGCGAGAAAGATTCACAATAATTTTTGAGAATGTAAAAGGGGCCCTCAAAGCAGAAGCTTCGAGTGCCAATTTTCTAGAACATAAATTAAGAAAAAAAATAAAATTCTTATAAGTATTTTGTGCCACCTGAATTTTGTCAAAGCATTGGTGAAATAATGAGTTTAAAAAATTTTCACTGAACGAAGTATAAAATTTAGTTTAATTTAACTGATACATAATTTGTAACTGAAAACTGAAATTGAAACATTAAAATGAGAAAATTTAAGCAATATTTAAAAATATTTTTTGCAGTATAGACAAAATAGGTGCTTTCGGATCCTTTTTATATCTTTCTTTGCCGAATTTACTCTTGAAAAAGGGAGACTCACTGCGTTTCCCACTGCGTTTTAGAAACTCAATGAGCAAAAAATTTAAAAGGACATTGAGCTTAAAAAAAATAAATTGCGTGCTCTATTGCATAAAAATAATAATTGAAAAGCAATCATCGAATTGTTATTAATGGAATAAATAAATGGTTCTGGCAGGCCAGAAAAATTTGAAATCTAATACGCATGTAATTAGCCAAATCGGCTTTTGGTTTATCCTTATCAAATTTTTGGATAAGCCGTATTTATAAAATATTCATGTTTGACACATTAACTGAGTCAGTTGTCCATACAATATCGGCTCTAATTATGAGTAAAAGAATGCTTTATAAGTGCAACAAATGAAAATTATAAGATCTGAACTGACTCGATGAAAATGTGTAGCATAATCTGTGTTATAATTACCGATCAAATATTCCATTTTTTCCTATATAAAAAATGGATGATACAGTCGAGCGATTATTTCAAACCATCAAATTCTGGATTCTTTCTCTTGACGAGGCTAAAATTATCACTGGAAATAAGTGTTAGGATCTCCCACTTAAATTCATATCATATCATACGGATGAGGAATGCCACCATAACAATGTCATCATGCCAATGCATTCAACTAAATTAGATGTGTTAGAAAAATAAGAAATATGCCATATTTCTGTTAGGCATATTTTGGATGATATATAAACCCAATGAAACCCAACAGTCCAGGAAAATTTAATAAGGAGAAATTAAGGATGGATGCATATGAAAGGGACGCGCGAGCTCCGAAGGCTAAATTTATACGTTTCGGTCGCAATAATAATATGAAATTCATACGATTCGGAAGGAGTTTTAACGATCGGGTTCGTTTAACTTTTCGGATTTCAAAAGCTAAAACGAAAAAATAATTTTAAAAATTTGAAATTTGTGTGATGAATGTAAAAGAATTGCTTTATAATTGCTTGGCAAAGCTTAAAATAAATTTTAGCAATAGATTTTTACATAGTGCAATTCGCTGCAGTTTCGCTCGGATATCGAGAAATAGCAACAATGAGATGTTTAGAAGAATATTTTCATTCAGCTCTTTCCTGTACGAAATTTTCACAGTAAATGCAGTGAAACGATTAAAATGAAGTAGCAATATACTCGAGCGAACACCGAATTTTTCTTCGAATATTCCTGCTGATTGCTAATTATCCGTGTATAAAGGAATTATAATGACAATTCATTGACTAAAATAAATCTCCAAATCTACTAGTAGTAGAAATCTATCATGAAATTTTAATTTTAATTTTTAAATTTTAATTTTAATTAATTAATCACGTTTAAATTTAAACAAAATTTTAAATTTGATTCAATTATAAATGCAATGAAACACCATTAATACAACTGTTAACAAATAATATCCATAAAAATAGGATAATACTTGATAATACTTATTGAATAGGTGCTTAGTGCTTATAATTCTGGATAAATAACTTTCAGGAATCGGATGAAGATGGTTTGGCTGGCAAAAATAAATTCGATCAGAGAATGTTTCAAAGATGAATAACAATTGGGTTGATCATTCCATCATAATTTTTTTCAAAATTTTATATTAGTTTTGGTTGCGGATTCGAACATTTGTAAAGTTCAGTTAAACATTCGACACAGTATGCTATTTGCTTTTGGATATTTTGAATACTTCTATTTAAATTTTCCTTTTTTTTTAGATTCAACTTGATATACAATCTCTATAAATTGATAACAATCCTTACGCTTTGTCTACTTCTTTTTCTTATATTTTAAGAATTCCATGGAAACTTTTTTTTTCAAAAAAAGACATCAAAATTGGTTTCTATAATCTACAATCTGTTCTACAATCTGTTATTAATATTGCTTATGGCAAATGCGAAGCAAATTCATACAATTACATCATGAGATGGCCAAATGGCTGATTTTGATCAAATTAACAGATAAACTGAAAGACAAATTAAATAAATAAATTAAAATAAATAAATGAAATTTGCAGAAATTAAGAAAATTAAGAAAAATTAAGAAATTAGGAAAGATTGCCTCTTTGCTAATATAAAAAAAGGAATGAAAAATATTCAGTTAAATGCAATGTATAATATTATAAATTTAACTATCGGGAAAATTAGAAAAATTAAAAATGAAAGACAAATGATAACAATCCACAAATTTGTAGTTATTCCACAGATGATTAAAAAATTAACCCAAAAATCATTTCAAAAAAACTACTTTTGCATGATTTTGGCAGGTTTGGTGAATAAACTATTGATTCATTATATTACTTCAAGCATGAATCGCATTGATTTTCTATTTTAACCTAAAAAGGTAACCAAAATTATCGTTAAAGACAATGAGCAATGAACAAAAATAACTAGAAGATAATGCACAGCGATAGCGAATTCCCATGTAAATCCTGAAAATATTTTCAATCAAATTTTGAAGCATAAATTGAATAAGAATAATTAGGCATTTGATTTATGGCTGGAATTATTTCTCTAAATATAAATTGGATTAACAGAAATTTGATTGAAAAGTTGCAAGGATAATAATTCTTTTTAAAAAATTTTTTTTATTGTTTTAAAACTATTTTTAAACTTCTCTTTTTTTAAATTTAATTATTTCTATTCTTTGACTTTGATTGGAGTAAGCCTGTCAAAAATCCGGGTGACTGCTGGAGACCCACTTACATTTCTATCCCCAAGTGACTCTATGATGAAGAGGTTAGGTCATTTTGATGTAACGTCCGCGTCTTCCAACACGCATGCTATTTCTGATCCGGTGGTACATGCGATAAATATATGATCTGGGCGTAATAATAATAATTAATAATAATAACAATAACTAATAATAATTAATAATTAATAATAAAAATAATAATAATAATTAATAATAATTAATAATAATAGTAAAAATAATAATAAATAATAGTAATAAATAAAAAAATAATAAATAATAATAAATAATAATTAATAATAATAATAATTAATAATATAATTAATAATAATAATAAATAATAATAATTAATAACAATAATTAATAATAATTAATAATAATAATAATTAATAATAATAATAATCCCAAGGACAGAACTTGCTCGAGAAGCGAGATAAGTATACTCAAAATCCGTCAAGGAAGGCGAGAACCTATCCGCTAATATTTTGTAAGAGCGGTGAGATGCTGGCTATAGCTGCTTGGAACTTAGAACGCTTAAGGATGTTGCAAGCCATGCGATCACTGTCCACACCCTTTCTAAACAGCGCGTAGACATGGCTTGTTTTTCGGAGGTCTATCTTCTTCATTTCGAGTCTTGAGTGATTATTAATCCTGGGTCGGAGCAGAGATGCTAGCTACATCACTGTGATATTTCGGATAACTCAGAGCAAAATGCTGTAGCGATTGTCATATGTGAAAAGGCTTCATCCGCTCTGACTGACTGGAAGCCAGTAAATGACCATGTACCTTACGTGCATTTCAAGGGAAAGTTCTGCAATATTTCTGTTATCAATGTACATGCTCCAACTTTATGCGCAGATAATAATAACCTCGATAAGGATATTCTATAAGCAGCATCAACAATTAACAACATCCCTATCGAGAGGTAATATGGTCATAATCAGATGAGATTGGAATGCGTGCGAAGGTCATGATGCCGTTTCGATGAATTCGGTAATTGGCAAATATCGGGGTCCAATGCGCCAATGGAGAACGCCTTCTTTGTTTTGCCAAAGACCATGAACTCTTTGTTTGTTACTAATACATGTTTTCGGCATCAAAGAAAACATTTAGTCACTTCGAATTCTCCGGATAACCAATATTTCAATCAGATTGACTATATTGTCGAAACGCTGAAACTGATAACCGTCATGGACCAGATCATATTATGGTTCGAGCCAAGATTCGTATAAAATTGACAAGTCATAAGAAACAATATATTTCGAAATCTTTCAACTACCTCAAATTAAAAGATATCAAAAGATACAAGAATAATAAACGCATTTCAAACCGTATTACCGAAACATCTCAGTGAAGACAATGATATCTCTGGAACGGCGAATAAATATTGGTCCAACTAAAGATAATGTTTACAGAATTCGGCAACATCCACACTAAGGTATATTAATAGGAAGTGCGCTAGTTGGCTCTCGGAAGTAACTGTTCAACTATCTGAAAAAGCTGCCAAAGCTCGAATATTAGATTTTGACTATCGGGGTGCTTCAAAGAATTACGATGATAGCAGCACAACCAATGGAGCGATATGGCCTTGAGAATGGAGACGGCGGCTGGGATAGGCGATAATAGGAAACTGTTTCGCCTTCTTCACAAAGTCACTATAACTAGAGAAGAGGTCAGTGAAATGATATGGGATATTAGTGGGGATCTATTAAGGATCGCCTCAGAAAATGGAAAGAATTTTTTGAGGCCAAACTTAACCACAGCGCGCCATTTGTTGTCTCGAATATAACTAATTCGCCGGTCGAGCCATACGTTTCCAACTGCCAATCGCCAACAGAAGAGGAAATAATCTCTGCCATCCAGAAAGTTAAAACTCCTGGAGAAGGTGGTCTTCGGGCTGAACTCTTCGAATTTTATCCATCATCTTCATAATTCATCTTCAGCAAATTTATTTTCTGGTATGGCGAAAGGAAATAATACCAGAAAATTTGAGCAAAGCAATTCCTAAGAAAAGTGACAGGACGTAATGCGACAATTACCGAGGGATCAGCTTACTGGACATCTCCGAAAAAATTTTTCGTCTCCCTGCAAAATAGACTCATAATAACACGAGAGAGCAGAATGCATCCTAACCAAGCTGGATTCAGACCGGGATGCGGTTGTACTCACCAGATATTTACGCTGGAACATCGCTTCAAATACTAGAAACCTATTGCCACTTGCTTTATTGATTTTGCAGCTGCCTTCGATTCCATTGATAAAGCAGCGCTCTGGAAAATGATGAAATGTGACGATATCCCAAAGATCATTCGGCTTATAAAGACATTTTATCAACATACCTTGGCACAGGTATGTGGAATTGATAGACTCCTTCGAAATAAGAACTGGTGCCCGTCAGGGCTGCGTCCTTTCTCCTACAATATTCAACTATGCGATAGAATGGATAATTGGCATCGCTTGTCGGCACTCAAGAGATATATAAATCAGCCCAAAGCATAGCATCATAGACCTTGAATACGTTGAGATGTAGTCCTTTTTGCTGACAGTTATAATGAAATGCAAACAATATTGAACAATATCAGAGTGATGCTGGCGACTCCCCTGTATTTCTATCGCCAAAGGATTTCTTGACAGATTGTTCAATGCAACAAGCCACTGAAGCGATTTTAACCAGTAATGGTCAGGACTCTTTAAAAAGTGCTAAATAACGTGCCAAACCACTGCAACGAGAATTGGACTCGAAATCAATATAAATAAAATAAAAATGCTTGAGAAAGTGGATCCACTCTAATCCCAAATAGCCAGGCAAAGGATGAAACTGTAACCCGAAAACGACAGCTAGAAATATGCTTTTCCGGTTAACTAAAATTCCATGGAACCGTCGCGAAATCGCCATAAAGAGGAAAATCTGCGTCCATATAGCTAAAGTTCACTAGATCTTACTATATGGCTGTGAATCATGGCCAATGAGAGTGGAAGATTTTAAGAAACCATCAACCTTTGACCACTCATTTGTAAGATACATTTTACGGATCCTTCGAGCGGATAAAATCGTACATGATTGTATCCTTCTTCGCTCAAATACCTTACTGTACCTTAATATCCATCTTAATAATATTAAGATCAGAGATCATCGTCTGGTTAAGGTATGTTCTTCGTCGTCCACCACACGATTTGACGCATATTTCGCTACTTGCCGAGGGCTGTAATGAGTGGCGTCAAAATCGAGGTGAGTTAAGACTTAAGTGAGTGTGATAAAGTTAGAACATATTTTGAACTTATAGGGAAACTAGCGATATATGGACTTAGACGATGGAAAAAGAAATGGCTTTTATTACTATTAACGATGCATCGGACCAAGCAGCTTGGAGACCATTGTAACCTAACCAGTAATGGTGAAAGCTGTTAGAAGAGGAAGAAGGATAACAATTCTTTAATAAAACTACAAAACCATCATTTATACTATACGCTACTATACATTTATGCTATTTATGCTTGCTAGCATGCGATGTTAATTTGAACTTACATTTTTGTTGCCGGATTCTACCATATCACAATTATTTAATACCTTTTTCTTTTAAATTCAAGAAATAAAATACTGAGAATAAAAATACCTGAAAAAAGAAAAAACCTTAATAAAATCTTCATAACCAAACTGAACCTAAAATCATTTCAGAAGATATGCTCGAAGACAATTTAATATTCAAATTATATAAGTTTAAAAAAATATGCTTAAAAAGTATGATATCAATAAATGTAAATCTTATTTTTCCTTCCTATTTATTAACCAATCCTAAACAAATTATGGACAGTAAATAAAATATACCAATGAGGATGCAAGAAGTGATGAAAAACATCGATGGAATTAAAACAGCCAAGAATTGAGATGGAAATAATTTATGAATAAATACATCCGAAGGTACCAAAGGCTGTAAAATTTGAAAATCCAAAACAAATAAATAAAAAGAAAAAAAATGAAAATAATATAAGCCCTTACAAATTTTATAACAAAATATAAATCCATGGTATCTGAAATGAAATTGAAACTGAAATGAAAAGGCTAGAAATTCATTTAAAAATCAAAAAAATGATACATATTTCAAAAATTATCAAACATTTCAGTACACCCAACGCCTAAAAAGAAAAAACTAACCACAATGTAAACCCATATAAATATATATGGAAATGCAATTACCACAAATGCAAGGATCAAATATGCAAGAACGAGGTCCACGTGAACCATCTATCAAATTAAACCATATCTGAAGTAGGAAATAGAATATGAATGTAAAATCACCAATGATTATAAGTTGTTATAAATTATAAATGGTTGTTGGGTCAATTCCCAATTCCTATTGGGCGTTGTGAGGAAAGAAATAGATACATTCACCGACAGGAATGAAAGCTAACTTCTTTACAAAGATTCCTAACTATATTAGCACCCAACCACCAAAGACCACCAAAATCATCATTAACCTAGTAGATCAATTAATCAAAATTTGCGAGCGACTATGTCTTACGGTTGTCTTAATGAATATTATATGAGTTATATACATAAAAAAAAAAAATTACAGCCAATTTCTTTTTTTGACAATTCTTTATTTAATAAAATTTATAAAAAAAACCTTCAATAAAATTTCATCAAATAATATCAAATCCAATCTCTCAGAAAACGATTCCAATAAGCAATAAAATGTAAAATACAATCGATATAAATAGAAAATGAAAAACATTTAGTAAAATAATTTTTTACCAACACTGTTTTATTTGCAGTTTATTTATCTAGCACAACAAAGTAAAATCTCATTTTTTGATCATAAAACAATAAAAAAAGATGATATAAAAAACAGAAAAAAATACAAACACCACTTAAGAAATAGAAAACAAATATTCTAAACAAATATTCGAAAATTACCTAATATCTAATGGATAATTATTTAATATTTAACATTTAATATTAAATTTAAATTTGAAAACTTGAGAATAATTAGCTAATAATTGCATGTTATAATTTAGTAAGAAACTACTTTTGAAAAAATAATTGGCCTTTTAACAAGGAAATTCTCTACACAAAATAGATCAGACTAATTACACAAGAATTTTTACAGTGATGTAACGAATCTTAATCACCATTCAACATTAACCTAATAGATGATTCTCGAAAATATTAATAACCAGAACTTTCTGAATACCTTCGTAGCCAAATTAACCATATGAATGTATAAACTGATGACTTCAAGACTACAAATAGAATCAAAAATCGCTTATTCTTGCCTATAATTCAATAATTCAATTCAATAATATAATTCAATATAATTCAAAAAATAATAAGAAAATAAGAAAAATTAAAATGGAGCATTTTATTAATTATTGAAATAAGCAATGTAATTAACAAAATTTCTCGGAAAAAACGCACTAATTGTCATTTTAACATTTCAATTCACTTTTTCAACACTTCTCCAATTTGGCAAAATGAAAAGAACTGTATAAAATAAAGATACAAAAAATTATTTTACTCACTTTATGTAAGATTTCATTCACAATTTCCAGAAAAAAAGACACATCGCAATTAAATGACTGGAGGAATGTTATGAATTGAGGACAAAAATTCTTGCTATCAGGAAAATATTGACACAGCAAACCACCATTACATTCAGCGGAGCTTAAAACAATAATTGAAAAATATTATAAATTCCCAAAAGTTTAAGAAAAAACATTAAAAATTGAACATAAACATAAAAAAATGCTCAGCATAAAAAGAAAAAAATTCCAAAATTGATACAGGCGGAATAAGAAAGCCACAGCAAATTTAGCTTCATTCTTTTCAACAGATACATTTTTTGCGGTTAAGTTTAGAGTCGAGATCAAGGGGCGAGTTAACTGGCTGATTCCTTCACATCCTATTGCATTTTCTAACAGTCGAAAGCTAAAAAAAAAGACAATAAAAATTCGCAAATCCAAACAATGCTTTAAAATTTAATTTATAAATTGACCTCGAACTTTTCAAATATTAATAAAGAAAATAAAACCTTGATTTCAGCAACGCCAAAAGAACTTCCTGCCTCTTAATTGTATGATTGTATTTATCTACAGACGGCAAAAATACTTCTAATTCCTCTTCAATCAAATTAAGTTGATCGCCACCATAAAACCGCATTAATGCTTTTTCAACATCACTAAGTTCATCATTCCGCTTCACTGGTTCGATTTCTCCACCAATACGCAAAAATTCTAATGTTCGTGGACCACACCATTCTCTGTTTATGAGCAATCTCATTCATAATAGAATATATTCTTCTTATAATAGAACATTTTCAAAAATTAGTCAATTATTTATTAAAAAATACCTAGCGATTCCCGCAAATTTGATGGAATTACTTTTCATATATACTTGGCCTTTTTCACCATCTTCGGCTTCCGCTAGTTCAGTAGATAATTGTGCTATCTGGTGAATGTCAAGTGGTTTGGCATCAATTATAATGGGTGGACGCTTTATTTTAAAATTGCAATATAAAGAACGAATTCTCGCAAGTTTTTCTTTTTCGCAAGATTTATGGTCTTCCTAAAAGAGAACAACAATATATAATTTTTAAATAAATTTTAATGAACAGGGCATGCTTAAGATTTTTCCAAAATAATATTTTTTTATCATAAACCTACCACAATCAATAAAAATAAAGTCAATACGACAAAAAAAAAATCAAATTGAGAATATCGAAAAATAATCTCGAATAAGAAATAAGCTCTTTCTTTTTCTTTATTTACAATCTCCGCTCCTCCATCAACCATAGAACGTTCCTGATTATTCACTTGTGACTCAAAAACTGATGGTGTTCTCGCATGAAGCACCTCCATATTACATGAAATACCTGAGGTGCAAACAGGTAAATGAGGAGAAAAAAAACGATCATCACAATCATTTCCAGAGACATCACATTCATTAGCATCATCTTCATCATCCGAAGCCTCGATATCGCCTATCTAAGAAAAAATTTGAAATTTAGAAGAAAAAACTAAATCGTAACAATGTAAGAAATCGATAAATATTTTACATTCAATGATAGAAATAGATAAATATTTTACATGTAAATTACGTAAAGATTTTTCAATTCGTTCTTCTACATATTCAATCATATCAGATTTATCCTCTATCGTTGTCATCAACATTTGCCCATTTAAAACAAAATTTTTGCCTAAAAGTTTTTGTTATATAGATTTTTCCAGTATGAAATAAAATTGCTTTTAGTAATCTAGTAGTCAAAATGAGTAAAGAAAAAATGCATTGAAGTGTAAAAAGCTTTTCTTTAATTTAAGAGGAACAAAGATGAATTTCTATCATAAATTAACAAACGATATGCAAAAAGAACATCGCACTTTTTCGACAAAAATTACAGATTTTTCATATCCAGATATTTCCTTGTTAAACCTCATGTTAACTTCAAAAACAATAAAATATAAAAATATAAATCACAATAAATCACAACAAGGTAAATAAAATAAAAGTTACTTGTTTCTTCTCCACGGATCCATAAAGGATCAATTGGAAGTTGCGATTTTATGGATACTGCTTTTTTGAAACAGTCGTTAGAACAAAACATAGAAATTTCCGAAATTCGTTCATATATCTGAATATATTCCAAAATAAATCGAAATATTCCATAAGAAAATTCGAGTTCGATTAGAATGGAATAAATTTCCTTATGAATGAGTTTTCGCTATGAAAAGAAAAATTTTTAAATAAATTTTAAAAATATATTCTTTATTCTTGAAATTTATTCTTTTCTTTTTCTTCTTCACTTTTTGATTTGATTAATGAATTAGCATAATCTATCAATTTATTCATTACGTACAATAATTTTCTATATTAAGAGAAAAAAAGAGAAAAATCATTATAAGAATTTTTATACAGTTTATTGTTATTAAATTTACATCGTTTGGCAACATTCTTGGCCGACCAACACAAGTACTATTATGTCCTATTATGTATTATGATGTACTATTCACTATACTATATGTGAAGCACCGTGGTGTTTTTTTTAAAGTACTCACCATTGATGGTTACTTACCGTTAGCTTGTCGGTCTAGACAAAAATATCAGGAAAAAAATATCAGGAAGTCTCTTGGCGACAAAAGTACAACCAAATCAGCAACATCAACCGTTTACTTCTGCGAGAACCGTTTACTTCGAGTCGACGAGTTTAAAAATAACCTAGTGAGCCATTCTCTCCTTTGTTTTCTCCGTTAGACGGTATAGTTGGCCGACTGCCCAATGAAGCATAGTTCATCGACAGAATTCGAAGCCTCGGGATGGCAATTGTTTTGTCACTAAGCCAGTGATGCAGCAAGTCTCAGATGAGTGGAATTAAAATCGAGCAGGCTCAAAACCTCGATATATGGGAGAAAATTTGAAAGTACAACAGATTTAAACAATGATTGGAAAGGAATGATAGTCAATTTCAGCGACATACAAAGAAGCTAGGAAACGTATCAGCCCAGTATAAAGTCAAATGGTGAGGAGCTTTAAGCAATAAAACCTTTCTATGAACACGATCAATATGATATAGTTGGCGTTGCTGAGTTTCCACAAAATTTGAACAAGTCGGATAACCACACAAATTTAATATATATCGTTCTTCAATTAAATCCGACCAACTGTTCGAATCTAACAAATTCAACTGAAAAATAAAATTTTTTCAAATTTTCACTTTTTTAAATATTGATTTTTTTTTACGAAATATATATAGTTTAGCAGTTGTGTTTAACTGATATGGTGTGATATACGTGGTTTCTGTGTTTATACCTAGTATTTAATTTACCCACAATAAAGATTTTCATGAACCAGTTAGCTCCCACTGTTTATAGAAATATCTTAGCAATATATGTGCTAGATTATGAGAAAATCGTGGAACTGTGATTGGAAATTCCATAGAAAATCATGGAAATAACAAGGCCCAGTGAAACATTCCTATCCAAACGGACAAGCGAGTGCTAGCAATCAACCAAAGATAAGCAAGAATCAGAAAACCATAGTGGTGGTAGATATGGCAATATCAAATGATAGGAAAATGAAAAATATGAGAAAATAGAAAAATACCGAGCCTGAAAGAGCAGATGGGAATAATGAAAGCAAAAGTAATCTCAACAGTGGTAGAAGTACTCGAGAATTTCTAAAATAAAAAGTGGCTCCAACAGACTTCAGGAGTAACAACATGGAACTCCTGGCCTTAGGTTGAGGAGTCGAGATTGATGGTGAACCACACCACCGAAAGAGGAAGTTTTTTTTACATAAACACATAAGTATAAATCAAACCTTTTCGATTAAAAACGAATCGTCGACGACATCCATCAATTGTAATATCGTATGTAATACTTTTTTGCGCAATTTAGAAACCTTTCCATTAGTTTTTTCCTTTCCGTCGACGGCACTTTTTACCGCAGTCTTCATCATTTTCTGAAATAATGATTTTAGCGAGTTTTACGCAAAAAAATTTTTTTAGAACAAAAACAACATTTCCTAATAATAAATATAACTAATGATCAAATAAAATAGCTGTGAAGTAATTAAGTGGTAACCGCTAACTATTTTAAATTAATTCCGTCGGCCAATTGTATGATTAGAAATATTCGCCAAGATTTACTTGTTAATAGAAGTAAAGGCGCGTCACCACCACTAAGATTTTTTAAAAAGAAGTTTATTTTTGTCAGAGGCAAAATCTATGATAGAAACCACTGCCCGCTCGGCCATCTTAAAAACCTATCAAATTAATTCACTTCTTTTTACAGAAAGAAACAACAAAATTCTGTGCAAGAAATTTTAGAGAAGAATCTCAACAAGCTGAGGCCGCATCTGCATTTTACAGGTCTGATTTTATAGCCCGATGGCTAAATTTACGGCCCATTTCATCGCCAAATTTTCTATTGGAGGACTGTATTACTGAAAGAGTGTGTTGTTGGTTTAGCGCTCTTTGAAATACATTATCGGGAAGAAAAGGTGGAGGGGAAGTAACGGGTTTGCGATGTTGCAGGGCCTATGCGTTCCTGAGAGTTTAAGTCTGTCACATAATAAGCAAAATCTGCGCGTCGACAGTGCCAGATTAACGCGTTGAGAGTGAAGGTAGATCTGGCAGATGTAAACCCACCATCAAAAAACCTGAGTAGTCATTTATACATCGTCTAATGGCCGGAAAATTAACTTCGACAAGCCAGCGGAGTGAGCCTAGCGAGCAGTGGTGAGTGCTGAGTGAGTGTGCAGTGAGAAAAGAAAATATATGACAAAGATGTAAAATGAAGAATGCACTGCAGTCTTTATTGAATTATGAATAATGATTTTGTAAAAGCGGCCAATGCCGAAATCGTAAAACCCCTATGGTTGCACATGGAACTACAAGTGGGTCCTCAGCACCGCCTGGATTTCACTTTCCCATCAAGGATCAGTCCTCAAACTCATGATTTGGATTTTTTCTAAGAATACGATTTAACATTTGCTCGCTGATCCACCATCAACTGAATTTTGGAATAATAAATTTTGCTTCTGCGAGCTTCTCAGGTTTAGGCCTTCTAATCGCTAATTGTCGCCTTTTTAAAAGGCGTAAAATGAATTGATTAAAGGTTGGGTTTGGAATCATTTTATGCGAAAATGTTGCTTAATTCGGCTTATTGTTTAATTTAAATATATTTGCTTATATATTTTTAATTTTTCACAAATGCAATTTAATCTCTCGGAATGGAACGTTAGCGCTCAGAAAACATTTATCAAAATACTGCGGCGCTCATTTTCAATCGCGGAATCAAAATATTTTGAATATTTTATTTTCTATTAAAATATTTTCTTTTCGAAATATTTTGAAAATATTTTAGAATATTGAATGAAACGAAAAAACGGTCGAAAAGTTATATTTGGATCCGACAAAATATTTTCCGTTTCATAGATCCCATTATAAATATAAATCTTTGTAATTACAATACATTAAAGTATTTATCACTAAAACTTAAAGAGCTCCCAATTTTTCATTTTAAAAATAAATTGAACCATTTATTGAGCTAAATAAAGTAAGTGGTTAGCACTTTAAAGTAAATGTACTAGCTGGATGTCAATGCGAAAAGGAAGGGCTGGAAATACGGCTGGAAATTTCTGCTACTCATTTGGTGATAGAAGTAAATCACCTGAATTTTCAATAATTTCAACGAATTTACTCAACGGAGGCAACGGCAGATAACCCGATAGCCACTCGGCTGTCCTACTTTCTCATTCTTATTTGCAATAAAAGTTTTAGCGGAATATTCTTTAAAAAATTCAACTGAAAGTTTATACAATTAAGTTTACGAAGTAAGATTTAGACTCTTTTGGGATTAGAAGAAGAATTAGAGTTGGGACTATTCTTTTACTTCTTTACGAATTACTTCTCAAGATATGATATGATTCTCAAGATATGATTTCTTTCCTTTTTTGTTGGTTTAGATTATATTAAATGTAACGATTTATTTTTAAATTCCGATCCTACTACAATAGATCGAAATACATTGAAAAACTATGCTTGCAAATTAGATCCAATTAGGACTTTTTTTTATGTATAAATTACTGCAATAAATTACTATTTAAAAGTTCTAACTTAACTAATTTTAAGAATAAATTAAACAGATCATCAAGGAATACAACCAGTCTTCAACTTTGATAAATTTTATCTCATGTTTACTACACCATATTTTTTGGGTTTCTTATTTATAAATATTTTTAAATATTACAGACATAAAATTCATGGCTTAGCATGTAAGCCTTCAGCATCACCCGGATTTTGGACATGTCTCCTGCCGGAAACCACCACATCGGCCCCCCGAACTGAGCAAATATGCCTTTTCTCCTCGCTTTCCGCCGTCAGGCGACAATGCTGCCCAACGAAAAATGGTGCGTCTCTTTGATAACTTTTCCAATGAATAAGAAGTAAATTATTATAATCAATTGAGTAATAATGGATTTAAAAATATAAATTATATAAATTATTTATAAATATAAATTTTTATATTTATAAATAATTTATATAATTTATATTTATATGAAAATAAATTTATTTTCGATATATAGTTCGCAAACGCTGATAATTTTTTGCTACAATAGGTTCGAAGGAAAACAGTTTGTTGGATTTTCCATTAAAACTGATACTGCAACTTCTTTGACAATATTTTTAATAAAACATTAATAATTTATTATCGAAAATATCGTTATAATTTAAAAGTAATTGCTTTTAGGATAGTTTCCAGCAAAACTAACAAATTATGATTGTGAAAATAGTATTTTTCTATAAATTTTTGACTAGAAAGATTCCTAGTAAAAAATTAGCAGCATTTTGTGTATGAGTTTTGATATAAACATGGTACTTTCAGTCGCTTCTTATTGCTATTTTCGATAAAAGCTGGGGAAGAAAATTTAGTGCATTCTATTTCTTGCATCAAGAAAGTGAAAATCACTTTAAGTTTAATTTGGCGCTGAAAATGGTATAAAAACTCTGAATCTGAAAACTAAAATCTAAAGCTATACAATGCAATTGTTGCCTCTCTTCCTTATTTCTCTTATCCATAAAAGAAGTGGCGATACATGAATTACAACTTGTTGCCGTTGAAGGGTTTTATTGGCCATTTATTCACTTAGAGCTCTTCACAATCAAGATAATGTCATGCGCACTCAATTGTTTCGAAATGGTGCTAATGAGCGGAAAATACATTATTAGCATAAGTCAGTCCTTAAGCTATTCCATCAATTTTTTGCTTATCAAAACCATGGAAAAAAGGAAAATGATTGCTTCAGTATAATAAATTTTGGCAGTGATAAACCTATAAACACATGGAAATTGAACAGTAAATAATTCATAAAGAATAACAGAAAATAAATTTCCGATTAATTGAACTCAACTATCATTATCAACGGACTGTCCATTCTCTTATTTTATATCTATGCAAGATCTTTTATAAAAAAATTATTGAGAAATGCTTACTGCATTTTTCGGAGGAGAACATTATTTGGCTAGTCACTTCTATAAAAAGGCTACCATTTTTGTCACGAAACGGAGAAAGCAAAAAGGCTATTTTGAGACGAGTCCGCTTCCACTCCTTTGGTTTTCGCCCGCGCACCTTTTATATCCTTCATCTGACCATTTGTCGACATCGATATTTTTTATTTGCTTTCTTTAAGGTTGTCGTCTTTTGTATTTGAACCTTTTCTGCTGATTCGCTGTTTTGATAGATCATTAAAATTATCCTTCCTTCCTTCCACCATCCTAAACTCATAAAAACTGCCTTGTCAACCTTACTCTTCATTGATTCATTGATTGATCGGTAACTAATTTGTTAATAAGGCAAACTGCTGATTCGAATTCATTTTTAGCAACCTTTTTGCTTTCTCCGTTTCTCGACAACCTTGAAAAACTTTGTATTCTGCGACTGTTTAATCACCGCGCAATTTGTAAGAAAATATTTTGATTTCACAAATAGTAAGTATTTTCGCATGGAACAAATTTTCATTGAACTTTTTTGCAGCAGTAACAGCAAATGATGCTTCTCAACGTTTGAATTTTTGAAGTACCTTGTGCAGAGACCACGATTTGAATGATACAGCATTAAAAAATTATACAAATCATGTGCGACAAACCAGGTGCACTTGCAACTTTCAGGTAAAAAGGCTTACTGCGCGGTAAGGCTCAGATCAACAGAACATCAATTTTATAAATGAGTTTTGCAAAAAGACAAACTAAAATTGCCGTGACGAAATGCTTACCAGGACTTACAAAAACTTTATCAATATTTACCATAGACTGTTCACACAAATAGCAAAATATTAAAATTTATAAAAAACTCATTTTTCAGAATCCGAAAAAAGCAAATAATCCAACTGTTTCAATTCGAAACCTTAGTTGTCAATATTGCTTTATCCGGAGATGCTTCAGTGATCAACTACGCGAATGCTGTCATCGCTTCTCGAATTCACTTCACTTAATATCATAGGCTTTGAATAGGCCGTCATTATCACTTTATCACCATTATCACTTTCGTTGATCAATTGTGGAGAACTGTACCCATAAACTAGATAGAATGTCAACAACAGAAGAGATAATTGCCCTCCAATTCAATATGTCTTTTCGTCTTAGATATCAAGCGCCGATAAAATCCCCAATCAACCATTTTACAATGTATCAGAATTTGAATATTTCCGACCATTCCCGCACTTAATGGCCAGGTGACAAAATTTCAACTCGGGCAGCTGTAGCTATAGGTGTTTTCTTTCGCCTTGCTTTCTTTCTGACATTACCACGAAATTATCTTCAAAATTAAAGTTTGCATCATCTGGCATAGTGCGTGTATGCAATCCCAGTGTATGCAAAAATTACAAGATATCACGAAGTTGTCTGCCTTTGACCATTTCAGCCTAATATACAAGTAAAAATATACAATTAAATTTGG